AAGATGAAATTGTGACATTAAAAAAATTTCATAATTCACAAAGTATTTCTGATGAATTTCTTAATGAGGTAAATTATTTCTTTTTCAGATTTTAAATATTATTCTTAAATTAAATATTTTTTTCTTTTTTAGTTTAAAAATTATGTTAAGCCTCATGATAAAGATATAATCAAAACTTATGGATCGACACAAGGTCCAACTACAAAAGATTATATGCTTGTAATGGATTACAAAAAAGATAGAAGTATTCAAAATTATTCATATAAAAGAGAACAAAAATTTGGAAAATGTCAGACTTGCAATAGATATAATACTGATTGGGCATGGTGTCAATCATGTGATCCAAATCTATTAATCAAAGGATGGACTAGTGGTAATGAAACATTAGATGAGTTGATTAAAAGTACACAACTTAAAGCAACTGAATATGATAATTATTATTATCTTCAATGGATTCCTCATAATGATTTAACAAATATTGAAAAGATAGGTGATGGTGGTTTTTCAACTATATACAAAGCTACTTGGGTAGGTGGTTGGAAACATATAGGCAAGGATAATAAAAGAATTAGTGAAGATGAAATTGTGGCATTAAAAAAATTGCATAATTCACAAAGTATTTCTTATGAATTTCTTAATGAGGTAAATTATTTCATTTTCAGATTTTTATATATTATTCTCAAATTAAATATTTTTTTCTTTTTTAGTTTGAAAATTATGTTATGTTTCATGATAAAGATAGAACTTATGGATTAACACAAGATCCAACTACAAAAGAATACATATTTGTGATGAGACATATAAAAAATGGAAGTATTCAAAATTATTTATATAAAAGAAAACAGAAATTTGGGAAATGTCAGACTTGCAATAGATACAATACTAATTGGGGATGGTGTCAATCATGTGATCCAAATCTATTAACCAAAGGATGGACTAGTGGTAATGAAACACTAGATGTGTTGATTAAAAGTACACAAATTAAAGCAACTGAGTATGATAATGATTATTATCTTCAATGGATTCCTCATAATGATTTAACAAATATTGAAAAGATAGGTGAAGGTGGTTTTTCAACTATATATAAAGCTACTTGGATAAATGGTAATAAGTTTATATATGGCAATAATGAAAGAACTAGAGCTAGTGGAGATGTAATTGTGGCATTAAAAAAATTACATAATTCACAAAATATTTCTGATGAATTTCTTAATGAAGTAAATTATATTTTTTTTATTTGTTTTCAGATTTTTAAATACTATTCATTATTATTGTCAAATTTTAATATTTTTTTTCTTTTTTAGTTCAAAAATTATATTAAATTTCATGATAAAGAAGATATAATTAAAATTTATGGATCAGCACATGATCCAACTACAAAAGAATATATATTTGTAATGAGATATATAAAAGATGGAAACCTTCTAGATTATTTAACTAAAGATTTTAAAAATTTAAAATGGAGAGCCAAATTTGGTATTCTCCATCAAATTATTAAAGGTTTAAAAGATATTCATGAACAAAAAATCATTCATCGTGACCTTCATAGTGGTAATATTCTTCAATATTCTACCAATTCATTTATTGCAGATTTAGGATTATCATGTCAAACATCAGCATCAAATAAAAATGACATATTTGGAGTACTGCCATATGTTGCACCAGAAGTTTTAAATAAGGAACCATATACAATGGCATCAGATGTATACAGTTTTGGAGTTCTGATGTCTGTAGTGTCAACTGGCAAACAACCATTCAGTGACTTGGCACATGATTTAGGTCTTGCAATGAATGTATGTGAAGGTTCGAGACCTGGATTCTCAAACAACACCCCAAAATTCTATATTGAATTAGCATACAAATGCATGGATGCTAACCCAGATAAACGCCCAACTGCTAAAGAAATATTTAATATTATTAATGGTTGGAAATTTACATTATCAATTAGAAAAGTATTTGATAAAATGGATGAAATTTTATTTGATCCTTCAACAATTACTGCAACAATTCATCCAAATGCTATTTATACTAGCAGATTATTAAAATTCACAGATCTTCCTCAACCTGTCAATTCCAATAAAGTAACAATTATTGGTAATCATAAAGGTAACTATTAATTGTTTTTTAAACCAAAATTTAATATTTTATTAATTTTTATCTTCTTTTTAGATTCTCGACAGGCTGATTTAGATTTATGAGATATGTTTTAATTGTAAGTCTTCAAACAAATTAACAAAATTTGAACCAATTCAAATTGGATTACCTAGATTTTGATTTATTTCATTTGGATTGATTACAAATTGTGCTTTGGCTCAATTTGAATTGATATATACTAATTAATATATAAATAAATTAACTCAATGTATCATGATTTGATTCTGATTGATATACATATAAACTTTGTTTCATTGAAATGCAGTTTTTATATGCATCCAATCCTATAAATTATGTATGAACAAGTAATGAATAGTAATAGGCACTGAATACATATAGAAATGGTGTGGAGTAGATGTTTTTACATGTTTTCTGTATTAAAATGCAATTTTTCATGCATGGAGGAGGGAAGGAGCATGGACAATAGAAAAAAAAACCGTAGCGTGGAAAAGGCCACTACAATATATTAAATTAGAGAAAATTTTTAACTGCTTTGGTAAGTAGAGAGGTTTGTTTTAGCAAAGCAGACAACTCCAAAGAATTAGCAACAGCTTAAAGTCAAAAAAAATTGGATTTAATTCAAAAATACAACCTTAAATTAGATGGTTTTTTTAATAATATTCGTTAGAACATAAGCTACATGCATGATGATATTTTTAAATTTTTTCTCTAAACTCTTTCCAATCACCACATTCAAGGCAAAATCCATCATAATGCAGACAAGCCGAATCAAGTGTTATATGAATAATCATACATTCACTCTATTCATCTTTGAGCAAATGGAAGTATAATGCATTTCTCGGATTGCATTCTACAAAATTTCAATTTTCATCAGATTTCAACACACCATTTATTACAATGTATTTTTTTCTTGATAAAAGTGATCGGCGTTTGGAAAAAAACGCGACATGATTTTTTCTTGACAGAAGTGATCAGTGTTTAGGAAAAAAAACATGACATGATTTTTTATTTCGAATTTATCTGTACTTTATAAAAAATAATGGAAAGCACTCAATCCCAAATTGATTCGTGGAAAGAAGAGAAATCCAAGCTTTTGGATGAAATTGTTGAGCTTAGAAAGAAGATTGATGAGGTCAAGGATGAGAATGTGAAGTTAAAGCAAGCTTTGGAAGAACATGAAGCCAGATTCACAAATCTAGAGCAGAGAGATAATAATAAAGAAAAGACCAACCTTATTTCGTCTCTTTCCTCTTCTAAATCTTTTCTTCTCCTCTTTGAAACTTTTCTTTTCTACCTCCCATTTTCCGTTTCTTATTTTTCTACCCAACTCAACTCCCTCAACTTCCTCTTCAACTTTTCCTTAGTCTTTTCCAATCTCTTTTTCGCATCCCCCTAATCCTTTTCAACTTTTTCGACGGTTGTCATTTTTTTAGAATTTAAAAATTTAAAAAATTTTTAATAAAGTTTGTTTTATTTTTGAATCGGAGTCAATTTTGTTGATATTGAATTTAAAGTAGTATATATATATGACGACACAACTTCGCATGTTCAGGTTTATTTTTTAAATTGTCATTTTTGAGTGCTTGATGATAGTAATCTTGTTAAAAAAGTTTTTTTTATATCGAATTCGCCAATTTGAGTTGTTTCGTCATAAAAAAATTTCTTTTATCCTTGGCTAACGAAAAAACGCCTCCATTAAGAGCACAAGTAAAATGTACTTTTGTGGTAATGAATGGACTACTAATCCACACCTCGTAGGAAAAGAGCTCAAACTTCTACGGATAGTTACTGTATGTACACAAATTTAGTAAAGGACTTGAAAGTTTATCAGCTCGTTCATTTTATTCGACAGGAATGCCGTGCTTTATTGTTTTTAAAAATGAGAACTTTCGGGGGGTTTTAAAAGGCCATTCCGTTTATTTTTCTAATACTTTGTTAAATCAGGAATACAAAATTATATTCAAAATTATATTCTCATGTATATCTGTCTTACGAGTGATGGATGGTCCAACATAAACCATAAACCACACACACCAAAACCCATTTATAAATCTATTATGCCAACTAAGAAAGAAAGACACGCATGAATTATGCATCGATGGATTAATCTGTAGTTTTTACAAATCTACTTGATAAAGAAAAGAGAAAACTGAATCTTAAAAAATTTAGTTTATATTTCGATAAAACATGCATGGCTTATTCGATTAATGAAGAGCCGGAACTCCTCTTAGAATTCGGTGACAGTGTGAAACCTATCTCTATATCTTTATTGAAGAGGGATGATTTAAGATTAAACGAAATCGATGTCTGAGCTGACGTGTTTTGCTTTCAAGTCCCGTCAACTGTTCTGATGCTTCTGAAAGAAGCCCTTGTTATATTTCAATATATATATATATATATACCTTGACCAAATGTTCAACTATTTATCAACAAATTGTGCTCGATTAAAAAAAAATTTTTTTTTACATCGCTATATGCATAATAGCGAAATTTCATGTCACTATTAATCTATAGTGAGAGGGGCAAATCAGATAGTATTAAAATGCAAAATTCTTTTATTACAGAAAAATAAATAAGATATATTTCTAAATATATAAATTAAATTAATATTTGTACACAAAAACTAAATATATTATATAAAAATAATTGAATGAATTTATTGTATGATACAATCTTTAGATTTTTTTTTCAATTCAATTTCTTCATAATCTTTACGAGTTATTATACCACCATTAGCCAATCTTTTTTTTGCATCTTCATTACCTTTCTCGGCAGCCTAGATAATGGATGATTTAATTAAAAAATATTAACATTAATAATTAATAACATAATAAAAATCTATCAAGAAATCAAGAATGTTATTTTTAAGTACCTTCGTATACCATTCATTTGCTACTTGAGGATTCGGAGTCACATGAATTCCCATATCATAAAAATATCCCATCACAAATTCAGCTTCTGCGATGCCTTTTGATGCAGCCTTTTCAGCATGTTCATAAGCTAAAGATTCATCTGGATCAAAATAACCTTCAGCTCCACAAAGATACCATCTACTCAATGCCAAGTCTGCTTTTGTTTCACCCATTTCTGCAGCTCGTTTATAATATGAAATAGAAAGTAAGGGATCAAATGGACAAGTAAGTTGCTTATACTCATAACAATGCCCCATTTTATATAAAGCTGGCCCGTAACCTAAGTTTGCAGCCTTTTGTATAAAAGTCTTTGCTGTAGAATCATCTGGAGAAACAATATCATCTGGAATATTTGCCTTTTCATATTGTTTAGCTAATATCAATCCATAAACGTATGCTACTTCTGGACATTCTTCGTTAACTTTTGTCACTGCTTGTTTCAAATATATTAAAGCTTGTATATAATTGATCGCTTGTTTCAAATCACCAAATATATAAATTTGAGCAAGTCGCTAATCAATATTTAAAATAATCAAAATCAATAAATTATTCAACAATCAATTATTGTTAATTAATTAAAATCTTTAAATTAAAAAAATGAATAATTTCACTTACATATAATGATGGAACGTCTCCATTTGCTGCACCTTTTTTGTAAAATTGAATTGCTCTTTTGACATCTCGATTTTTTTCATAGTACTGCGCAACTTTGTATGATGCTTTTGGAAAATCCAACTTTGATGATGATAAATATAACTTGAAGGCTTTATCTAGATTAACTTTCTTACCAAACTTTCCATATTCATGCCAAGTGCCTTTAGTATACAAAGCTTCATGATAGTTGTTTTTAACAAGTAAATCAATCCAAGTCTTAATTTCTTCATAAAACTTGTTAGTTGTAGAATCTTTTTCAACAGATTCTGAATTGTCAGTTTCATTAGGCTTTGTACGATTTTCCATCATATTAATAAGAAATTTTACATAATTCATTTGTATGCTGGGATCATTAAGTTTCCTTGCAGCATCGGCATATTTCTGGAGAGCCGCATCATCTTTTTCTAGCGTTAACGAAGTCATTGATTGAAGTTTTTCATTTTTTTCATCTATTAATAATCTTATATTTTTGTTAATAGATGATCTTGAACTAGTACTACTCATGGAAAAGTGACTGTCAGGTGTAGTAGCACGTTTTTCAAATAAATTGAATCCACTTCCATTTGTTAACAAAGATGGTAATGGGTTACCATCAGGTCCAACGGTAACCTCAGAAGATTGTTGCCCGTGAATGTGTTGTCCTGGCATATGAGCTCTTAAATGAGCTTGATTGCTATTACTAGAATAGTTTTCGTATGAATTATGATATTGTTGATTATAAAATTCCTGATGTGCATTTTGTGTTGTATGGTTTCCATACGTAGTAGATTCATTACCTTTTGATGAAAAGTTATTATTGGGATTTGGAGTTTGTTGATATAATTGATTAGGCAATTGCGTTGATATTGGCGTCGTTGACGTTGATGTTGGTGAAGAAAAATTTTGATAAGTTTGCTGTTGATGAATATAATTATTTCCTTGAGTAGGAAGTTGCTGATTTGATTGCTGGTTAGGATTTTGTTGGAAATTATTATTGGGATTTGGAGTTTGTTGAGACAATTGTGTTGTTGAGTTTGATTTTGATGGAGGATAATTTTGATGAGTTTGCTGTTGATGAAGATAATTATTCTCTTGGGCAGGATGATGTTGATTTGATTGCTGGTTGGAATTATGTTGAAAATTATTATTGGGGTTTGGACCTTGTTGATATAATTGATTAGGCAATGTTGGTATTGGCGTTGTTGATGTTGATGTTGATGTTGGTGGAGGAAAATTTTGATGTTGCTGAAGATAATTATTTTCTTGAGTAGGATGCTGTTGGTCTGATTGCTGATTGGGATTTTGTTGAAAGTTATTATTGGGATTTGGTGTTTGTTGATATAATTGATTAGACGATTGTGTTGGTATTGGCGTTGTTGATGTTGATGCTGGTGGAGAAAAATTTTGATGTTGATGAAGATAATTGTTTCCTTGAGTAGAATGTTGTTGATTTGATTGCTGCTGATTGAAACTTTGTTGAAAGTTATTATTGGGGGTTGGACCTTGTTGATGTAATTGATTAGGCAATTGTGACGTTGATGTTGATGTTGGTGGAGGATAATTTTGCTGTTGCTGAAGATAATTATTTTCTTGAGTAGGATATTGTTTATTTGATTGCTGCTGATTAGGATTTTGTTGAAAGTTATTATTGGGATTTGGAGCTTTTTGATGTGATTGATCAGGCAATTGTGATGTTGATGTTGATGTTGATGTTGGCGGAGGATAATTTTGATAAGTTTGCTGTTGCTGAAGATAATTATTTTCTTGAGTAGGATATTGTTGATTTGGTTGCTGATTTGGATTTTGTTGAAAATCAATGTTGTTATTAGACAAATTGTTTTTTATCGACATGTTATGTTGTTGATCAGCGTTATTATGATTATTTGTATTATTATTGTTGGCTGGTTTGTTATGACTTTCTTCTACCATTAAAGTACCAGCAATATCATTTGATACTATTGGAGAAGGTTTTTGAGGCTTGGGAGCCATCAATGGCGGAAATGATTGTTCAGGAATAAATGGTGGTTGTGAAGCAGGTATATTTTGTGGCTGTTGTTGTCGCTGTTGCTGTTGCGGCTGCTGCTGTTGTTGTTGCTGCTGTTGCTGCTGTTGTTGTTGTTGATAATTATTATTGTTATATTGTTCTTGAAATTGGTTATTGTTATATTGTCCTTGAAACTGGATGTTATTATATTGTCCTTGAAATTGATTGTTATTATACTGTCCTTGATATTGATTATTATTAAGTTGTCCTCGATGTTGATTATTATTATATTGTCCTTGATATTGATTATGAATACTATTATTACTTGTAGTAGGAACCATATTATTATTAATGCTAGTATTATTATTGCTAATAATTGCGTTATTTTTAGGTGGTGATCTTGGGCCCATGACTTTTTTCGTTATAATATTATTTTGTTGCGTGTTAGCGTTGTTTGAAACGTTCATTTTATTATTATTATTATTTAAAAAACAAAAAAAGGAAATATATATTAAATATTTTTTTTTGATATTTATATTATTTCAACAAACAAAGCCAACCTATTTTTAGAAACGATAACCCAGTAAAAAATAATAAAATTAGTAATATAACAATAATTGTTATGGAAAAAAAAAATGAATGAAAAAATATCAGAAAAACATTTTAATGAACTTGAAAATTTATTGAGCTCGGAAGAAAACTATGATGTCAAAATCTATGTAGGGAAGGAACATGATATTAAAGAAATTCATGCACATTCAATCATTCTACAAGCTCATTGTCCATTTTTCAGGGATGCTTTATTTAATGCAAAAAAACAAAAAGGGTATTACACACTTGAGCAACCAAATATTAGTGAGCCGGTCTTTAAAACTATTTTAGAGTAAGTTTAAAATTTATTTATTTGAAACAAAATAAATAATCTATTTTATTTTATTTGAAACAAAAAAAATAATTTAATTAATTTAATTAAATTGATTTTAAAGATTTATATACACGTGTAAAATTGAATTAAGCCATTATACTGGATCTAACATATTGAAATTATTAATTGCAGCGGAGGAACTTGGTCTCCAACTACTATATGAATGCGCAGAAGATTACATTATTGAAAATCATAATATAAAAAAAAATCCAGTTAAAATTCTGCGACAAATTTATAATCGTGAAAATTTTACAAAATTAAAAGACACATGCTTGGAAAAAATTTGCGAGAATAGTGAAAAGTTATTTAAATCAAGCGAATTCGAATTATTGGAAAAATCAATTTTATTAGAAATTCTTAAAATTGATGATTTTTGCGTTGATGAAATAAAAGTTTGGGAAAATGTTCTCAGATGGGGATTAGCGAGACATCCAGAAATCAATAATAATGTTGATGTTAAAAGTTGGTCAAAACAAAATTTTGCCGATTTAGGAAATACATTAAATGATTTTATTTCATTAATTAGATTTAAAGATATCTCTAATGAGGATTTTCGTTATAAAATTATCCCATATAAGAAGCTTTTTCCTAAGAAGCTATGGGAGACTCTTTTGGATTATTATTTGCTTGTTGACAAACAACAAAAACTAGATTTATTACCATCCAGAAATTCAAAGGGTGAACCGGAACTTGAATCAACAACAATGAATAAGACCCATATATTGCTTTTTGCAAGTCAGATTGATCGAAAAAATCCACCTTATACTTCATTCAAAAAAGTTAAATATGAATTTAAACTTTTGTATCGTAGCAGCAGGGATGGTTTGAATGTGAATACATTTCATCAAAAATGTGGTAATATCAACAAAACTCTTGTGGTTGCTAAAATGCAAAACACTGAACAAATTATTGGTGGCTATAATCCACTTGACTGGAGTGGAAATGGTTCATATAAAAATACAACTGATAGTTTTATTTTTAATATTGGCAATAGAAATGATATTAATTCTACAAATTATTTTAGTTATGCTTTCAATAATAGTCAAAATGCAATCTATTGCTATACTAATAATTATTTACCCACTTTTGGTAATGGTCATGATATTAGATTTAATCAAAATAATACTGTTTCTATTGGTCCAAATAGTTACAATAACATTAATATATCAAATGGCAGTAGATATGATGAATTAGAAGTTTTTCAAATAGTTGATAAAAAATAAATAACTATATTGTATATATAATAAACATGTGTTTCAATTTCTCTATAATTGAAATTACTAATGTGCAATAGTATTATATTTATTGCGTAATGTCATTTTTCTGGTTGACTTGTATGAAAGTAAAAGGTAATCAAAATTTAATCAAAATTTAAATTATTGTAAATATACATTAATATTAATACTCGGTAACGATTTTAATCGTCAAAAAATTATTCATAATACTAAATAGTAATAAAAAGAATAATAATGAATGAGCTTGGTGAAGAATTAAAAGCATAGATTAAATAATCTCCATAGATGGAGATAATTTATTGGATTTTCATAATCAATAATCATTTCCAAGATATCCATGTGAACTTGAATTATACGATGCTGATTATATAAAATTATTTTGTTGACGTCAGAAAGAATCCCTTTCAATTATGACGCAGGAAAATTTTCAATTGATGATCGATGATTTTTGAATATGGTTCGTTCCTCATTAAAGAAAAACATGTTTTAACACACTACTTATCAAACGCTACTGTTTACAAGATATTTAAGTGAAATAAGTAAAAATAAATATTTCGATGTGCATGAAGTAGCAAGTTTCTTCAAAGTAATACTAACAAGCCAGAAAGAGACACTTAAAAGACAAACAGCAAATCAAACTGCGTGTAGAAGAGGACATATTTGGTGACCGGATAAAAATTTAGGCTTGCCGATCTGAAACCTTCTTTCTTTTGTATTATCAACTTTGGTCCCGAAAATTGCAGTTCCCTTTTAAAATGTTATTTTAATTGTGAAATAACTTATTGGCTAATTTCAATATATATATATATATGTTACATAAGTTACTATATAAAGGTGCTCTAATAATCATAGAACGAGCGAATTCGGATATACTTTTTCTATATAAAGATACTCTAATCAATCATAGAACGAATGAATTCGCATAATCTCTTTTTCATCTATAATAAGAAGTACTGTAGATGTACGCCATTATGATAACTGCATTTTTAAAAAAATCTCATCTATTATAAAACAATGTGTAAATGTACGCCATTATTATTATGGTGACTGCATTTTTTAAAAGTCTGAACGGGCGAATATAAATACTAATACGAAATAGATCTTTATCGAAAATTTATTTTTTTCTCCCTTACAAATTTTTTCATGCACATTGAAAAAGTTTTTATTTATTTATTACTACATACTAATAAAAAATGGCAGAAAATGACTTTAACTCAAATGATAATAATAATATTGACATTATAGAAGTAGTAACAATATTGAATACAGAAAAAGATAAAATATCAATTATGAAAGAAGATAATCATAATTCTAATTTAAATACAAATGATGATGCTATTCA